AAGCTTCAGCCTCGACACGAAGCTTCAGCCTCGACACGAAGCTTCAGCCTTGACACGAAGCTTCAGCCTCGACACGAAGCTTCAGTTTTGCTTCAGCGTGATATAAAATCTTAGTGCAAGCTGAGAAATCAATTTCAGTTTAAATCAATAACGACCACTTCAATTTGAAAACATAATTTTCTCAATAAATCAATTCAGAGACAAATGTTGAGTTTGTCAAGTGTTTAGCTCTGGATCTGTATTTATGTGATGTATTTCATTATTGTGGGACCTTTCCTGATATCTGTTTAGTTGATGTTTCCTCATGTTTTTAGAATAAAATCGGCCTCTGAGTCTGAAAAGTAAAGCCAACAGGACGAGTGCTGCTGGAGAAATAAATCTCTTCATTTCAAATGATTTATTTTCTCACAAACTATTAAATCATTTTCTGCTTTAAATGTTTTTTCTTTCTTCAGAAAATGACGCGGGTGGAGGAAACGCTGTCTTCTGATGGGAAGAGAGCATCTGTGATGCTCCACCTGGAGACCAGAACCCCTCAGAAACCCTGAGCCGGGTTCTGATGGTAAACAACAACAACAACAAAACAACAACAACATCGGGACACTTTCATCTTCTGGGAGGAAATAGATGCAGAATGTGATGACTCTCCTGGAAACGAAGCTAAAGGTCTCAGATTTTCAGCTAATGGACCCGCCGCGGCAGAAGGTTCAAGGTTTGATTGACAGGAGAAGAAGCAGAAACATGAATCCGCCATGTTTGAACTTCCTGTACGGAGGAGATCTGCAGCTCCTCAGTGCAAGTTCTGAAGCAGGAAGACCTACCTGCTTCTGCTGCTGCTGCCGCTGCTGCGCACCTCCTCTTCCTCCTCCTCTTCCTCGTCTGCTTGTCCTATATTCCCTCCTCTGCGAGGCTGAGTGACGTCACGTTCAGCTCGTGATGAGAGCACAGGACGAGGCGCAGGAAGATTAACTGTTTCCTGCTGCAGACCGGAGCGCTCATCTTCATCATTTCATCAGCTGCTCTTCATCAGCTCATCTTCATCAGCTAGTCTTCATCAGCTCATCTTCATCATTTCATCAGCTAGTCTTCATCAGATGGTCTTCATCAACTAGTCTTCATCATTTTATCAGCTAGTCTTCATCAGCTGCTCTTCATCAGCTAGTCTCCATCAGCTGGTCTTCATCATTTTATCATCATCATCATTTGGGGAGTGGTGGCGCAGAGGTTAGAGAAGGTGGGCCTGTGATCGGAAGATCGGCGGTTCAAGCCCCGGTACCGACATCAAAAAAATGTGGGTGGAGTAGGTGAAGCCCCCACACTGCTCCACAAACAGGTCTCTGTTGAAAATGACTTATGGTGGCTCAATGAGACTACCTGTATAAATAAAGGTACATGAAAAACTATCAGCTGGTCTTCATCAACTAGTCTTCATCATTTTATCAGCTAGACTTCATCAGATAGTCTTCATCATTTTATCAGCTAATCTTCATCATTTCATCAGCTAGTCTTCATCATTTCATCAGCTAGTCTTCATCATTTCATCAGCTAGTCTTCATCATTTCATCAGTTAGTCTTCATCATTTCATCAGCTAGTCTTCATCAGCTGGTCTTCATCAGCTAGTCTTCGTAATTTCATCAGCTAGTCTTCATCAGCTGGTCTTCATCATTTCATCAGCTAGTCTTCATCAGCTAGTCTTCATCATTTCATCAGCTGGTCTTCATCATTTCATCAGCTAGTCTTCATCATTTCATCAGCTAGTCTTCATCATTTCATCAGCTAGTCTTCATCAGCTGGTCTTCATCAGCTAGTCTTCATCATTTTATCAGATAGTCTTCATCAGCTAGTCTTCATCATTTCATCAGCTAGTCTTCATCAGCTAGTCTTCATCAGCTAGTCTTCATCATTTCATCAGCTACTTTTCGTCATTTAGACTTAAAATAAATAAAAACACAAACAAGCTCTAAAAACACTGATGCTAAACACAAACAGGAGAATATAACATAACAAAAACAAACATTTAGCTACAAACAAAAACAAACATTTAGCTACAAACAAAAACAAACATTTAGCTACAAACAAAAACAAACATTTAGTCAAAAAGAAAAACA